TGTAGTCATTGACGTGAACATATTTTTTACGTGTAGAGGTGTTCTCCTGGGGAATACCCCAGGAGTCTTGACTGACGCCACTGCAGAGCTGACCGTTGCTCTTCTACTCACAACATCCAGACGACTCATTGAAAGCACTCACCATGTTAAAAAGTAAGCAGGCTTGTTGGTGGCATCACCATGCCAAGGACAGGCAGGTTGCCAGGATGGTTAGCCGATAAAGTTGGTCCTTTTTTGGCAATTAATAACAGTGTAAAATGTCCTGTCATGGTAGCCTTAGTTTTTGTACATTTTGGAAGTTGTCAGTGTTTTTTTCTAGACCATCACAGGATTAGCTACAAGACCATTCACTAGTGTCAGAGTGAAATATAACAAAAAGGAATGCTTTTGTTGCAGTTCATTTGAATAGCTTGTGACTTGAATTCAGACTGGAGGTCTTGTGTTGGTCTAGTGACGGTCTCGTGGGATCTTGTGATGGCCTTGATAGGTCTTGACTACAACAGCAATAGTTATTATTAAAAGCCACAAATGTGGGACGTTGGGTCCTTCTCGTCCCAAATACAGATTCTTAAATTTGTGGCTAAACTTATCTCCTCAGACGATAAAATGCTTTCACAGTTGACAAGAGTATTATGAAATCCTTAAATAGTGTAATTACTCAAGAACTGTCCATACATTTGTCTTTCATTGAGTAGGTCAGGCTGCGTCTGAATCATTTGGCTATGGCTTGAAATTGCACACAACTTTATGGGAACCGGCTATGGCCACAGCCGTAGACCTGTATGTACTAATTTCAAGCCAAAGCCTAGTGGTTATGACGCGGCCTCACTTTAGTCAGCTTTAAAAAAAAATATCCCCGAATCTTTTAAAGTTTAACCATTCCTAGTTTGTTGTCACGGATGTCATCCTCTTGCGGTGTTACAGCCTCTCATTCAATTCATTATCAATACTATCATTCAATATCAGTCTCAATATTTTGCAGATGATGTGTTTAGGCTTTGTCCAAATTCTCTTTCTATTTTGAACCTGATGTAGTGGCACGTGGGGCTCTTGGAAAGCTTTTTGGATGTGTGGACCAGGTTTGTCTGGTAGCACGGTAGGCCTGGTTGGCTTGGGCCGCATTGGACAGGCTGTTGGACAGCGGCTCAAAGCGTTTGGTGTGAAGAGGTTCTTGTACTGCGGGCACTCTCCGAAGCTGGGAGCTGAGACCTTGCCAGCAGAATTTGGTTGGTAAAAGTCAGATCGGAACAATTTCAAAAGTGTAGATTTATTCTGTTCTGATGCACCATGCAGTGAAGATTGGCATGTTCTGAGTTTGCTTTTATCTTTTTTGCCGATCTAATTGGTTTCCAATGCTTATTTTGTAATTTGTTAAAAAAATACAATTCTAAACCAGAAACTAAGTTAAATGATGTGCTTAAAAGTAGGAAGTAGTGTGTACATTTCTAGAAAAAAAGATCAGTAACTCCTGCACCGTAGGTGTGGGGACATACACTTGACATTTCATCTATTTTGTAGGGACCACAAACATTGTGGGGACTCAGAAATGTCCCCACAACTGGGTTCAAATTTCCCTGACAAAAGAACTTGTCTCCTGAACACGGTGAATGCCTACCCAAGTAGACCATCGGCCAAATGCACAGTACAGTAGTTTCCTCACTGTTTTCATGATGAAACAAATTCCACTATGGAGCACAAAACTAAGCTTTTGAGTAAATTGCAGTAAGTTGGTCATAATTTAAATCACAATTTAAAGAGATTAACTGCAAGAGTTAATTAATTATTAATAATTCATAAATACCTCAGACAGTCTCCCTATTCAATAACACAAACAAAAGCTCAAGCATGGGGAATCTTGTATTTCAGTGCATATGCTGTTGCCACTGCAGAGGGTACATCCAGAATTGTTTCATTTGTATGTAGTTTGAGAGTTGACTTTGTCCCCTCCCGAAAACAAAAAAAAATCAAGTAGGGTCAATAAAATTTGCCCTCCATGTCTTAAGGCAATCTCCGTGGTGCACAGATTTTGTCTATTCACGAAATTGAAAACATTGCAGACAAGCTGAATTTTGCCCAAAATAAGTCATTATGATTCAGCTGATTTCAATAGGTTTGCTTCTAATGAGTTCACCAAAATGGAAGTTGGGAAAAGGGATGATTTTTGGTCAAATTTGTCCCTTATTGAAAAAGGTGATGCCATGGTCCCTAACTCCCCTCCCCCCTGTATGCAAAGTGCACCACTTGATGCTGCATTGCAATGAAATGAACACTTCCTGAGCAAGAATGCAGTGAGTGGAAAGCGTATATAACACAACAGATGTTGGGGGTACTGCAAGTCTGGAAGCCTCCGAAGTGTAATTTGCAACTAGGTGAAGCAGAGTACCATAACGGGTTGGTCCTTCATTACCTAGAACTTTTTCTGGTCTTGCAGTATCCCTGGATGATCTACTGCAGCAGTCGGATTTTGTCGTCGTCTGCTGTGCGTTGACACCAGAGACCCAAGGGATGTTCAACAGTGCTGCCTTCAAGAAAATGAAGAAGTCTGCAGTATTCATCAACACCAGCAGGTATGCGTTACGAGCAAGGATATTATCAAATGAAAATGTGTAACGCAGTAGATAATGGTGTATTGGGAATATACAAGGGTGACACCGGCTGAAAGATAGTGTAAGGAATGTTCACCGTAGTGGAATGGAACATTGTTGTATTTCCACCAGGCTAATGCTTTCCCAGACAAGTTGTACCCTCCTTGAAGGCTCAAGGTGTTCAGCGGACAAGACAGATAGATGCACATCCACAACCTTTTGATTCACACTCTAGACTGCCCATCCCCACAGGACGGGTACCAAATGACAGCCCTGCGCGCAATGAACACACCTCACTGATTTATTAAAGCGACCTGAGTAATCAATATACTTTTGAGGTCTCTCCTGAATTTCATAGTATAACTTCACCATAACATTTCATCCATCACCAAATGAAATGATTCTTACCATTGCATGAATGTGAAGCATTCATTATTCGTGTTATACAATACCTGCATAAATCGGACAGTATGTATTGATTTCTTTGTGAAATGAAAGTTCTATTCAACAGGTACCATGGAATAGAACAAATAATTCACTGACATGTGATCAATGATCCACCAGATGACAGAGATTTATACAGGTATTGTATAAAATGTCATAACAGTAATTTTAATTTAATTTGAAGTTGCATGACGTATACCCGGGGGATTTTCAAGATTTTCCATTTTCAAAATTCTTCAAAATTTCACTACTTCATTTACTGGACGTTTACACCCACACGAATGACTGTCTGGTGGCTACTCTAATCTGACAGACAACATCTATTGACGCCCAAGTATTTCAGCCAGGCCTGCTGCCTTGTAAAGAGAGTCCGGATTGTGTGGTGTTACGTAATTTTCTTTTGTTCGCGAAACTGGCCCAGTACGCTGCTGGCAGCTTTTCAAATGCAGACCAGATAAGTGTGCAGTGGTATCACTCATCGCTTGACCGCTAGAGCGCTTGTGTCCCCGTTGGTAATCCGCTCGCACTGGATGTCACAAATAGTGGTATAATAATTCAAAACAATGACGGATTTCCTCTGGTATTGAAAACTGACAAAATGTTGGCAATTCTCAGGAGCTCAGTCTTTTGTTCCGAGTACAGTCTTTTGTTACAAGGCCCAGCTCTTTTGTCCCATTTCATGCAGCCCGGCTATGCATATAAACCCATGGAGTCTGGTTCCGGAAACCCCGGCACCAAGTGGTTAATGTACTCCGAGTATGAAAGAAATGGCACGTTTGTACATTGTAATGATGTTCCTTTTGGGCCATATGTTTGCATGGGCATTCTGGTTAATACACAGATGATGCCAAGTGCGACCCATTTTATTTGAACACTGATGCACCTGATTTCCCCAGGGATGCCAAGGGCATACAGAGGGGTTTGTGTAGGTGTGTGTGTGTGGGGGGGATGGGTCCACCTTTTCTAATCCTCCGTAATCCACAAAACAACCAACAGAAGTCCAGATGTGTCTTTTGGGATATTCAACCCGTTCATCCCGGGAACTGTCGACATACATTCTATTCATCACGCACCTGCGGTTTCAATGTGGGCCAGCTGCTGGACAGAGCTTTGCGTACTGGGCAAACCGCAGCCTAGCAGTCACTGTCAACAGAATCCTTGCCAGAAGGGGTTAAAATGTACCAGACTGCAGGATTAGATGTCTTTTTAAAAAAGTTTCCCAGGGAATCCCAAGCTATTGTGTTTTGAACTCTCCTGATAATCCAGGGTATGCCCATGGTTGTTTTATGAAAGATAATCAAATGTCATACTTTGGGTTCAGAGTATGACCAAAACTTGGTACTATTTACATAGCAGTGACATCTCTTTTGGATCACAGAGGGTCCTTGCGTACAGCCATGCAGTTTTGAATTGGAATTTAGTCTTTGTACAGTTTTTGCCCAGCCTTTTGTGTGCCAATTGAAATGGTCAGTTACTAGCCTCATCCTTCTTTGCTGATGGGGGTCGGGAGGTTACATTTATTTGTACACGGAGCAGATTGCCGTCAAAATGCTTTCAGACTTTTTAGTACAAACAGAACAGTCTACAGCTCTGTTTACATGTATTCCTTCAGGGGTGATGTCGTCAATCAGGACGATCTGGTGGAGGCCTTGCAGTCAGACACCATAGCTTATGCTGGACTGGACGTGACAACCCCAGAGCCACTACCAGTGGATCACCCGCTGCTCAAGTTGACCAACTGTGGTAAGTGGACAGAGTGCATAGCCAAACTAAAGTTTGGAGTTTTTTTGCGTTGAGAAAGTTGCAATTTTAAATTGTTTTTTTTTATAGTAGAGAATACACAAAGATCAACCTTGAGAGATGCAGAACTGCCACATAAATGCTAGAAATTATACCATCCAATCCCTAATTTGAATGTGTTGGAAGATTTCTTGTACACCTACACTTTGTCCCCTCACAAAAATGCAAAAATGAGGAAAATGGATTGGCAGTGCGGGAGTTCTGTTGTCATGGTGTTTGCAAGGTGTGAAATTGTTACAATACGGGCAATTCACAATAGTGCGCCACCAAGAGTTTGCAACGTGTTGGCCAATCATAACGCGCAAAATTTGTCGACCCTTTCCAAACGCGCATTGGGTCGACAAATTTCGCGCATTGTGATTGGCCAACGCGTTGCGAACTCTTGGTGGCGCACTATTGTGAAACGGCCGTATTGTTTACAATTTGAGAATTGAATTCTCTGCAGGTGGAGAAAACGTTGCTCCTTTTCACTGAATGTAATCTCTTTGGCAAACAAATTTGTCCCTTTGTGAAAAAGTGACAAGTGCAGTTTAGATGAATTTTGCCCTCTGTACCTTATAACGATTCAGCTGATTTCAGTAGATGTGGTCAAACTGATTCCAACCAAATTGTTACCATGAGATAGCCTGATTGATTTTGACCCAAACTAAACAGAAATTTCAAGAATAATGATTTTGGGCCAAGTTTGTCTCTTTGTGAAAACAATGACGAAATATTTTCTTAGCAAACACTGGTTAGCATCCAAAATGCCTTGCATTCTGTATATCACTGGTGACTGGTTCCCATGGTCATTTTTGCTTTGCATGTGAATCTGCTGTGCTATATTCTGCTCGGAGCTCTATGAAATTGGTTGCGCGAGGCTAAAAATACTGCTAAACCTTAATGCAGTGAAAACGGGTCAGTGTGGTATTTATAAGAAAACTGGAGGTATGTGAAAGGTTGAGATCACTTGGGGGGGGGTTTCAGCGGACTTAACTTCAGTGACAGTTGCAGACTTGCTTTACTAAACCAATCAAAACATAGGTGTCGCCTCGCCCAGGTTGGACATTGTCTTCATTTACACCACGACTGACTTCCAGGGTATAAAAGTCCTCCTACGATGCGAAATTTTTTTCAATTTTTTTCTCACATTTTTACCTGGTGAAAACAGCTCAAGCGTCATTCACCGGTGCCTTGTATCCCAAATTCCATAAATGCTGCATTGAATTACTAGATATGCCCGTGGACAACATATTTTGCAGGAAATTTTGCGAAACTTCATGCTTTCCGTCGGGATTCATGAATGGCCTACATTCGTCTGGTATGGTAACTAGTTGTGCATGCGCGAAATGGCCTCCACGCAGCCCATATTCTGTCAGTTATGTTGTCTAGATCTAGGACTTTGCTCCATTGGAAATGCATGGAGATGCACAGACAGTAGACCTAGCCATAGCCTTTGAAGTACATTCCGGACACGGCGTCATCTGCAACTTCTTCACGCCCCCCAGCTCTTCCGCGCATGCATTTCGCGCATGTACATGTATGCGTACTAGACTATCGAACGTACATCGTTAATGAATCGCGATGGAAAGTGTGGCGTTTCGCAAAATTTCCAGCAAAATACATTGTCCGAGGGCATATATAGCAATTTCAACTCTGCATTTATGGAATTTGGGATACAAGGCACTTATGAATGACATTTGAGCTGTCTTTGGCAGGTAAAAATGTGAGAAAAAACCGTTGAAAAAAATTTTGCATCGGAGGACTTTTATACCCCGGACATTAGTTGCAATGCAATGTAGAAGACCTCCAACCTGGGCTAGGTGTCGCCAAGCAATGCAACACTGTTTTTGCTTCAGCTGGGACTTAAATGTGACACGCTCTAAGACATTGAGTCACAAGTTGCCAGAGCTACTTTGGAGTGTTTAGATCGTATTGGAAAGAGGAAACTTGGCTCATTATTTTAATGTCACTCAATTTTTACATCCAGATGAAAATGGATGGTTACATAGATGAGAAATGTTGAGGATTGTTATTGCTTTACATTATGCAACATTCATCTAAAAGGCCCAAAACTCGAAAGTGGCTCTAGTAACTTGTGACTCATTTTCATTGAGCAGGTCATAAATACGCATCATCATGGTTAAATTTTTTCTGCAGTTGTTCTTCCCCACATTGGTAGTGCCACCGTCGAGACGAGGACCGCAATGGCTATGCTGTCCGCTAGAAACCTTCTCGCCGGTCTTGAAGGAAAGCCAATGCCTGCCCAGGTCCAGCTGTAACTCACAGTAGCGCTTTGTTTATTTTTACTTCATTGCATCTTTTCCACCATCAGGGCTGAACCTCAAGACTGAATATCGACTGTTCTAACAGTTTGTGAAGAACAAATGACATTGTGGAAATGTTGCTTTTGATTTTGAACTGCGCATTAACCATTTATTGCACCCCATTATCATGCCAATTAGAATGCTCACAATTTTCTTGATAAAGAAAACTACTGATCAAACCTGAAATATAAAAGAAACAAATCAAAACGTATTCTACCTTTTTTGAATTCCAAGACAAGTTTACATGTATTAACTGAAAATTGAATGCATGAGATGTATATAGTGGACAAGTTGATCCTACAAAATCTTTTAAAACATTCTCACCCTTTTTGCCTTAATTCAATTAAAGCTTAAGAATGAACACTGTCAATGTACAAAAAAAATGAGATGTGCTATAAATCAACCATAATGACCGTAACCACAATCTGACAGGTGCTTTCCTGCGTCCATAATGCAGCTAGAGGCAACCGCAAACCATAGAAATACGGGGGAGTTGTTAAAAATAATAGTATCAGAACAATCAACAGAAGTTTTTTTACCGGAAAATATTTCACATTCAACTATCACCTTGCTGATAAAAAAAAATTGGAGTGTCTCTCGAATGGTTTTGCATCAAATTCAGCTTTAAATTCTCGTTCAGCTTTCATTCAAGTTGACGTAGGCTGACAAAGGATAATATTCCTTCGTCAGCCTACGTCAACTTGAATGATTAATTCAGCCTGAAGTCAAATCGCCCATTCATCATGTTCATCTTCCCCGTTCTTAACATGATACGATGCTGCCTTACGTCGCCCACTCTCTTGCAAGTGGATATTATTTCTACCCTTCAGCATGTGCAGATTTTAGACTGGATATATGCACTGCCTCATGTGAGTGGAGCCTCATAACAGTGCCCCCATAGGCTTCGTGCAGGAACACGATTGTGTGGGGGTGCGTGTGTAAATGCCTTCAATTGTGGACCTATAACAGTAGTGGACAATAGGGTCCACGGTTGCCGAAGAGTCCACGGTTGGAAAATGTGTACAAAACATATGGGAGGTCTTCCGAAAAAGTTAAAGTACAAACAAAAGAGGAACAATGGGGAGTCCACGATTGAAGGCGTTTACACACTTGTGTGTGTGTGTGGGGGGGGGGCACAGTACCCTGAGCCCCACAGCAATCTAACGTGCATAAAATGCGTGGCCCACACAACGGCAGTACAAGAGAATTAGTCTGTGCATGTGCATGCCGGTCTTTGCATATACGGCACAGAATACAAACAAAATGCAGGATAAGGACTTTAAAATGTTGAGATTTCAAACCCTGTAAATGCAGCCTGAGTGAAAGACTTTACAAACCACTTGTCACCAAGACCAGGTTATTGGAGAGAATACTTACAGCTTCAGCCTGTACAGGGATTTTACCTTGTTTACTACTGAAAGCTCATTCCATTTCTTCAGACAGGGTGACAATTCTGGACTGGCCAGGGACAGCTCCCAGAGATGAGCTGTTATCTTCCTGAGAAGTGACTAATGAAAGCCTGGACATTTGGTTTATAACTATTCAAACAAAGTTATAAAAAGTTCAATATTTCTGCAGTTACGCAACCCTGATACCATGAACTGTGCGTTCGGTGTGTGGTGTATCCACAAGATTGACGATGATCAGCCTCAATACAGCGCGTCGTGAAAAAAATCTTGCCTGTGAAACAAACAAGCAAACCTCACACAGATTACAATGTGATAATTACAAACAAGTCATGGCACTTGCAATGAGCTCAAAAATAGACTGCACTAAGGCCGTGTCCGAAACAGGCTTCCAGAGCTACGGCTAGGTCTATTGTCTACGCGTCTTCACACATTGCCAATGGAGCAAAGACCTAGACGAAGCTCTAGACAACAGATTCTGATGCAGCCTAAGTCTATTCACAATGCTCTTCAAGATCTTGCAGGAAATAATCCAAGGCACGCCTGGTATTTAGTATACACTCTGAAAAATACTGCCTTCTCTAAAACCTCTGCATATATAGATATACTTATATATATTTAAAAAATCCAACTCTGTAACTCAACGCCATTACCTTTAAATTACCTTTAAAAATTGAGTTATCGCACACGTAACAAACCAGTGTAATCCCAGATTTTCAGCTCTCTGTTCTGCTCAACTTACTACAAATATATACACTTAATACGTAATTCTCTTCAAATACTTTGTCAAATTTATGAGATGGTACTCCACAGAAATATTTAATATTCATAAAAATCACTTTTGTAGTTTAGGCACTAATTAATACAAACATTGGTTATATAAAATAGTGCAATTAAAATGATTGTGGCACAGGGAAAACAAACTTCTTTTGAAAGTCTTAACTATTTTTTTGTAGAGTGCAAGAATTTTGGGATTTAAAAAATAATCTTACTAGAATTAAGTACACCTGCTTTATTTCATTTAATCTCTAGTTTGAACATCCCCATCAATAAGAACATTTCATTTGATTAAAGATGTAGGCAGCTTAATATCTTGCTCTTAAACATGATAATGGTGTGCTAGTTTTGTTCGTTGAAGTAGGTGCAAGTCAGTCTTCTGTGCTACCGCCTCATGCAATTTTTTTTTTTGCTGGTCAAGTCGATCACAATTTCACCGAGCGGACAAACCTTCTGTTTAGATAGAGTTTAACGACCACCAAGTTAGAAAATTGAAACTCAACTTACTCAAGTGACAAGTTGCAATTTTCTAACATGTTCGCATTCTTGTAATGCAAATGATAGGATATACAGAGTACAGCATTATGTCTCCCAAGCCGGTCTGGGGAAAAAGTGATGAACTCTAAAAATCATCCGAATGTGGAACCTTGATTGAGTTACTTGATTCATATTATGTCTTCATTTATTCAGCCAACCGCAACCCTTTGACTGACAGAATTAAACTGTAATCACAAAACTGACATCACAATACATGTGTGCTTTCTAACGGGTTTAATGGATTGTGTCCCACCTCACTGGCCGAGTCGTAACCAGTCACTCATTTTTGATGACTTGAGTTGAGTCACTTTAACATAGTGACTCAAGTTGAGTCATCGTAATATAGAGACTGGAGTCAAGTTGAGTCACTGGGCAAAAAATTGAGTCAAGTATTTAGCGTGAGTCAATTTGAGTCACAAAAATTTGAGCACAATATGATAAATGAAAACAAGAAAGTCATTTTTTATCATCTCATTTTTTTTAAAGATGGTTACCACATCTTACTTGTGAGGATGACAACACGTCATGGACATTATAAAAAGGCAATGTAAACAGTCATTGTAAATATCTTTTTTCACAAAGAAGTTTGCTTTTATATTTTGAGACTCAAGTCTTATGAACTTTCATTTGAGTTGGGTCTTACGATGAGGGACTCGAGTCGATTCAGTTGCTTGCAGTGATTCAAGTCGAGTTGTACACCTGTTTGGACTCGAGCTGCCAAAAATTGTGACTCAAGTTGGACTCAAGTCGAGCCAGCAACTTGAGTCATTACAACTCTACTCATTGGCATAGGAAAGCGCACATGTACAACGTGTGACATCATTATATCCATTACAGCAAGATACGGACAAGTTCAGGACCCGTCAAAGCATGTGCTACAAAACCGTGTTTATGATGTCCAGTTCATTCCAGGGAGGTTGTGTGTACTGGTAGATTGGTTGCAAGATGTCGGGGTTGTTCCCATCCACCCCATTTTTGTCGTTATCCTTGCTGCCTTGGTGAAGGCCCTTCTTGCCGTCTGCCACACCGAAACTAAAGTTACTGTCGCTTCCCGATGTCCTACGCTTAAGCTTCCTGGACCGGCTTGAGGATCTTGCCGGCTTGCTACGAGACCATGAATTTGTTTGCCCGCCCCTGTGTGATAAATGCCCATTTCCGCCGTCATCGGAGCTGGTGGACCCGCGCCTGTCCTCGTGATGCGAGTGAGGCTGTGCGGCACGCTTGTGCTTTCTACGTGACCCTCTCCGCGATGGCATTTCAGATTTCCTCCCATCCCTGCTCGGGGTCGAGGGATGTGATCTCATGCTTGGTTTGTTTTCCATGTGGACCAGTTTGACTGAGTAATTGTCCTCCAAAGCGACGTGGGAGAGTTTTTGATCGGATGGTTCCCAGGGTTCACTTCTTTGAGCATTTGCTGTGGCAGGGTCATTCTGCAGTGAGAAGAGAGCCCACAGTTGAAATCATGAAATTAATGAATCAGGGTAGTAGTCATGACCTCTTAAGACCATCACAAGACCCAACAAGACCAACACAAGACCTCCAGTCTGAATTCAAATCACAAACTATTCTAATGAACTGCAAGAAGAGCATTCCTTTATCACTGTTCACACTGATATTTGTGACTGGTCTTGTGTTTGGTCTTATCATGGTCTCAACTACAACACTGTAATGAACTACATTCCACAACACTGTCACTTATGAAGCAAACGCTTTTCAGTTTTGAAAGATAACAGGATATAACCTGTACTTTACAGTCAATGACATTCATTTGGCTTTCTGTCAGGTATGTTAATTTTACACTATGTTTTTTCCCTTACACTGATGTGTGTACATTCACACTGTATTCTCAGTGTGAGTCTGTGAGTTGTAAAACAAATCGCAGGCTTGCTCAGGTGGGATTCGAACCCATGACCTCCTGGTTGCTAGTGCAAACATCTGCACAGAAAGGAAATCACGCAGGAAGTCGTGGGTTCAAGTCCTACCTGGGCAAGACTGTGATTGTTTCACAACTCTCGGACCACACTGAGAATATAGTGTTACATAGAATGTATGTCGGTGCGCAGGGCACTGCTTACTACAAAACTGTTAACCAGATTGATTTTAAATATTGATTCCACTGCAAAAACCCAGAGTTGCATCGCTGACAGGATATAAGCACAAAAAATGACCCCTGCGATTTTAGATCGACAACTAAACAAAACAAAACAACTAGGGACAACAAAAGTGAGAGAAACGACATCCACACTAACACAAGGAATGTAATCACATCAACAATCACGTCACAGACACTTCACCACATCACGGTCGTGATTACACGAGCGAGACTAGCTGACCTGCTTGCACTTCTTGCATAATGGAAGGCGTTGCTCGAATGGCAAGTTAGAAGTCCAACTGAGTGGCACCGTGCACCCAGGATGACGCATACCCAGAAAAAAAGAGGACACAGTCCCCGGCACCATGATGACAGAAAAAAAAAAAAGCAAAACAAAAAGCAAAAAAAAAAGATATGGGAATAAGTGAAATGAACTTCCACCAAAGATGCACCCACAGCTGTGGTTGCCGCTGACTGACATGAGGCAATAGAGTACCGAAGTGTGACATTACTGTGAACCAGAAAGTGCAGTGCAAACGAATGGAGTACGCGCGCGTGTTGGTTCACGCGCTGGTTCTCGCGCTAATGCCTTTTACACACTTATTGTGCGCGTGACGTATTCACTTTGGTCCTCTGTAGGATAGAGAAGTTCCGCCGGATGGTGAAATAGGTCCTTCTTGAAAGGGGAGAAAAACTTTCCAAACACCATGTAGATAATTTTACTCTTCACTGGAGAAATCTCAGGGAAAGAATGGGGGCCTTCGGGCTGGGGTTTGGGTGATTGGAAAGGGTAGGTAATTTTCTCTGGACTCAAACTTATTCCAAAGGAAGATGGACGCCTAGGTCACCAGGGCATTACGACAGTTAACTCCAAGTATCTACAAGGAGCAAAGTATTCGGGGTTTGCTGAGGAAGGCTCCATGCGTAGCATACACGGCCGATAATCTGGGCCAACTCCACTTGCCTTACTGGCTTGCTTATAGTGGGAGAAGTAGGAGGTTTTTAAGGGTACACCTTGATTCCGTTGACGCCCCTCCAGTGATCCTGGCTATGCAAAACACGTCAGACACCATTGAGTGATGAGTACGGGGTGGGGCAGAAACGTATTTGCGTGAAGAATGTGATGATGGTTATGATAATGGAATGACGGGAGACAGAGGTGATGGAGATAATGATGGAATGTATAACAGCTTTCATCGTAACTCATCGGTGTACTGTGCCGTGTAAACGACAGGGAAATTAAATGCAAGACTCTCACATCAGGAGAGAAAAGTAACCATCATGGATTCATTGGTGATTAGTGGAACATGCATTGTTGATCTTAAAGATAACAGAATGATTGCAAATGATTGTCAATGAATATGGCACGAATGTTCAGGAAATTGCTACCTACATGTATACGGTGTGCAGTTTTAATTTTTAAATGTTTTCTTTGATTCTGTTGTAAATTACACAAATATTTCAGTTTTCAATTTTAATGGTAAATAACATTTGAAACGCGTACGTGTTCTAAAAGCAAACATGTAAATTGTATAAATCTCAAAAAAATCATTAATATATGCGCATTAATTATACTGCATCATCATGATGTCATCATGAACTCACCTTATGAGTGGACAGTGATGAGTTCGTCCTCGCACCAGATATGGGACTACCCACCGGACCAAAGCCGTCCTCCACGTCCGCCCCCAAGTTATCGTAGCCCCCCGACTCGAACGGCGACCTGGGGTCAGAAGTCGGACTGGGTCGGGGGTCAAAGAGCGGCGGGGGCCTGAGCGGTTCCCGTGGTGTCTCGCTGTTGCGGTACGGGATGGTGGAAACCTCATGTATCTTGGACGGGGGGGACGAGGTGTTGCCCTTGTTGATGGTCCCACTGCTGGAGTAACTTGGGGGACCGCTGCTGGATGGAGTTTTGCTGCGCGAACTTGACCTGCTGTTAAATTGGAAAAGGAACAGGTGCAGTAGACCTGTGACATAATAACATCACACATTGTTTACATGTGTACTTTCCTATAAGGACATGATGGATTGCATCACACCGCAATGCCATAGGAAAGCACTCGTGTAAACGAAGCACATGTCATAATGTTACAGGTCTATTACTGAATGCTACAATGGGCAAATACTTCATTGGGACCTTGTATGACACAAACAAAACTTTGAGCCATTTGCTTTCTATTTGGTGATTGGAGAAGTATTTTCTAACAATTTTATGATGGACTAAGATGTGATAAAGCACAGAAAGTTCCCAAGAAGTTTGAGGGACTTAAATGATTGAATGCAAAGTTTCTGCATCACTGAACATTAATTCCTTAATTGTCACGTACCACTGAAATGTGACAGTACACCAGATTTGATGTGACTTTTGACCTACCTGCTTCTCTTTGACCTTTTGGACGACTTCCGGCTGCTGCCGCTACGGACGGCCGCCGCGATGCTATTGGCTGCTGCTGTAGCCTCGTCTGTCAGGTCTTCCGATGACATCTCGTCATCAAAGTCCATTGTGTGCTCCTAGATAAAATAGACATAAGGAGAAAGATGGCAGACAGAAGATGAAATTCACAAGTTGTAACCACTATCTCTATTAGCAAAGTCTCATTATCAATAAAGGGCATGTAGGGGAATCTGGTTTGTAAATGTGACGTCACTTCAGTTTAAATCACGCCCACCACACAAGCACTGCACAGAGTTACATGCATTGATCGCCATTTACATGGAACCACGGAACCGGAAATTAACGCACAACTTCAGCGCTCGTCCAATGGGACCCTGCAAATTGAGACGCATCCGTCTTTATGGTGAAGTCACGAACCGGATTGACAAAGAAAATAATTCAACAAAACAGTGTGCCAAACCAGGGTTGAGATTGGGTTATAAACAGAAATCTACAGAACATACAAGAGAGAGAGATTTAACAATGACAACCAAAAATACTGCAATTTTTCAGGGACAGCTTTAAAACAAGGCATTAGTTCTCTTGGAAATGGGTCTGGTTGTATGAATAATCCCTGGGGATTTGTACAAAGTGCTACCAGTGGCAAAAAACTTGTAGTTACACTTCTACAATTCAGGGTCAAAAATCCTGAAATTGGAAAATGAGCATCAAGGCAATCTTGCAGCCAAGACTTTGGAAATGGAAGCCGCATTTGAACTAATTTCCAAAGATCTTTGTCGCATTTTAACAAAAATTACTTGAAAAAAGGAAAATAATTCACAAAGGAAGAATGAAGACTTCATCGTACGTGGCTTTTCTCGTGTGTCTTACCTGTGTCTCTCTTGGTTTCAAGAATGATGGAGCTCCTCTGGAAATAGATAATAAAGACAGATTTCGTTTGATCATATTTCAGTAATTTCACTGTCAGTGAATAAAGCTCACAGCAACAATGGCGTACATATTGTTTGCAAGATCACTGCATACAATGGGATGATTGTCTCCCTACCCACGTACATTTTTGCCTTTGGATAAAGAAACGGCAGAAAATTGAATAGAAAAATGGCTATCAACTATATCATTCATGCAGAGCAACAACTCACTACTGTCAAACAAGGAATGTCCCACACTCTTTCTACTTGGGTATTGCAGGGTTTCCCACAAAATCCTGAAAGCCAAATTCCATGACTTTTGTGGGACTAAAATTGGACGATTTCCAGGACATTTAACGCCATTTCACGGGGAAAAGTTGTTTAGTACCATCAACTGGAAAACTGCCACTGCTACGGACTGACAAGGATGTATCACATAACCGGTATATTGATCACTGTTCCGTTATCACGTCAAAAATATCACATCAAAAAGGGGCCGATCAAAAATTACTCTTGCATGATCTTGATTGCCATGACTTCTCCACTTTTTCCTCAGACAACAGGATTCCAGGACACCCCTTTCCCCCAATTTTCCAAGACTTTCCATGGTAACTTTTTTTCCAGGATTTTCCATGAACCATGTTGCTTTCCAGGCATGTTGCTTGACAAAAAGTCTTACCAATATCTTTAAAAAAAATGTCTGAGTCGAAGTCATGCATTCCTGGTATCTACCAAAGCCAGACACTAACCACTCAACTTACTCTTCAAATAAAAGTCTACCCCTCTCGTCTCCATCCTGCCCGGCACCAATCAACAAGGACGAGTGGCTGTCGCATGCAGATCTAGGGTTACTACATAATGAGGGGTGTGGGGAAGCCAAAAGAGACCAAATATGGGAGGATGAAATGAAACAGGGTTAGGGGGGCAGGGAAAGGGTATGAGTTGGGCAGCACAGCACTGGACACATACTTCCACTGGAATAATGAATCAACTTTCAACGTCGTCAGGTTTACCCCACATTGAGGACAGAAAACGGTCTGTCCTTCCATTCTTGAATCGGGTGATGGCTAAAATTCCAAATTACTTTTAAAGCAGAGAGTTGGAGTTTTAACAAGTAAACTGAAAAA